TGTAAATGTACTTAATATTGACTTTTGGTCAAGAAGGTGGCATAGGTAAATGCGGTACCTGCCTCCTCTCACAACCATATCAAAATTACAACTAAACTACATAACAAACATCCTTCAGAATGGCCTGAAATTGAGCTGAATGGAAGTCCTACAATTATAAAATTAAAGAAGCAGCCACATGGAGACTGGTAGGAGGGGCGGAGGTGCTGACAGGCTGGTCCTACACCCACGTGTGGCAGATGAAAATCAGGAGGGACACCTCAGCTGGGAAGGTCCTCCTTGAAGAGTGAGGGGTCCCTGTTCCACACAAGGCATTCAGCTCAGGGTTCCAGTGCTAGGAAAAGAAGTCTCCATAGCTTCTGGCTGTAAAAACAAATGGGAACTGAGGCTGAGGAAGGCTGAGGCTTCTGGAGTCCCAGGCAGTTCCTCTTAAAGGGAACTTACTTGGACTTGCTTCATCTTTGCTCCAGCATGAAGGGGAGGCAGCTTGAAAGGAACCAGAGACATATGGGGAAGAACTGAGTTGTTTGGCATTGGGGTGAGAGCTGAAGAGGCAGCTTTCTCCCAGATAGATGTGCTGGTGTTGGCTTTGTTATTTTGATGAGCCCTTTCTCCATGAGGTTGGCAGACAGGCACCATATCTGGGACTCCAGCAACCTGGTTCACACTGTTTGCCTCTCCCTGGTGATTCCCTGAGGAATCACCCAAATTTGCCTCTGTTGTAATTGACTCTTGCAAAAACTGGCAACCAAAATGAGGAGAAAAAGGAACATGTTCCAAATTTGCCTCACCTAAATTTGGGGCCCACCTAAGCTGTTTCCAATGGCTTTACCATAGGATAAGCCTGTTTTGGCTCCTGCTTCATATTTTCTTAAACTCTCTCAAACAAGTAACATCTGGCCATGGCAAGCCCCATATCTCTCCCTAAGTGGCCCCAGGCCTGGCATTAGAAGCAGCCAGCCTTGGTTCACAGCTTGGCTTTGCCTGGGCATCTCCAAGCCTAGCACAAGAAGCATCCATTGGCAGATTGCCTTGTAGCTTATGCCTGGTGTCCTTGGGTAGAACACAGGCAGTAGATGACCTTCCCGCAGAGCCAGAACACACACTGGACAGCTTCAGACCACATCAAAGCACCAGCACCCAACCACCTCCACAAGTGACACACTCAACAAATTAACTCAGTGGGTACCAGAGCCCTGCTAAAGTAAGTCTTGCTCTATGTGGTGGGCCCCTGCAAAGCTAATCATCCAAGATAGTCAGAGGTCAGTAGTTAATTGGCACAGCCAGTTCTTGTAGCTGATCAGCCTGAGTAAAACTCTCAGATTGGTAAGCCGACAGCAATCAAAACTCAATTACAACAGAAGGGTATGAAATCCACACAAGGGGTATACCTCGAGGGCCCTGTGGGTGACCTGGGAGGCTGTGCCATTAGACCCTACAGGACACCTACTACAACAGGCTACCCTAGGAAGCTGAGAAGACATATTAACTTTATCTAATACATAGAAACAAACACAGGGAGGCAACCAAAATGAGGAGAAAAAGGACATGTTCCAAATGAAAGAACAGAACCAAACTCCCAGAAAAGAACTAAACAAAACAGAGATAAGTAATCTAACAGATGCAGAGTTCAAAACACTATTTATAAGGACATTCAGTGAACTTAGTAAGAATTCCAAGGAACTTCTGAGGACCTTAAGAGCATAATACAGGACCAGTCAGAAATGAAGAATGCACTAACTAAAATGAAGAATAATTTACAGGGAATCAATAGTAGAGGAGGTGAAGCCAAGAAGCAAACCATCGATTTGGAATATAAGGAAGTAAAAAACACCCAATCAGAACAGCAAAAAGAAAAAAGAATAAAAAAAAATGAGGATAGTATAACTTCAAGTATACAAGCATTTGCATCATGGGCGTGCCAGAAGGAGAAGAGAGAGAGCAAGAAATTGAAAACCTGTTTGAAAAAATAATGACAGAAAACTTCCTGAACTTGGTGAAGGAAACAGATATACAAATCTAGGAAGCACAGAGAATCCCAAAAAGATGAACCCGAAGAGGTCTACACCAAGACACATCATCATACAAATGCATAAGGTTAAAGACAAAGAGAGAATCTTAAAAGAAGCAAGAGAAAAGCAGTTAATTACCTACAATGAAGTTCCCATAAGGCTGTGAGCTGATTTCTCAAAAGAAACTTTGCAGGCCAGGAGGGAGTGGCAAGAAATATTGAAAGTGATGAAAAATAAGGACCTACAACCAAGATAGCTCTACCCTGCAAAACTATCATTTAGAATTGATGGACATATAGAGTTTCCAAGACAACAGAAAGCTAAAGGAGTTTATCACCACCAAATCAGTATTATATGAAATGTTGACAGGTCTTCTTGAAGAAGAAAAGAAAAAGATTTAAAAAATATGAACAATAAAATGGCAATAAATACATACCTATCAACAATTGAATCTACAAACAAAATGAGCAAGCAGAACAGAAACAGACTCATAGATACAGAGAACTTTTAGTTAGTTGCCAGATGGGAGGGGTGTTGGGGGGAAAGGGTGAAAAAGATGAAGGGATTAATAAGTACAAATTGGTTGCTAGAATGAAGAACCTCAAAGGGAAGGGAGGAGGTGGGGCAAGAAGAGAGAAACCAAAGAACTTATATGCATATATGCATAACCAATAGACACAGAGGGCAGTGTGGGGAAGGCAGAGGGGGGTGGGCGTGGGGAGAAGGAAATCAAGGCAGGGAAAACGAGGGACATCTGTAATACATTCAACAATAAAGATAAGTTTAAAAAGGAAAAAAAGGAGTACTTCATATTTTAGCAATAATAATAATAAACTAAAAAAATAACAAAAGTATATAAACACTTTAAAAGATATAAACATCTTTCTATCCACCCATCTAACTAACACATATTTATCTAGGACTACTATGTGCCGATACAATTTAAGCTTCTGCAGACAAGGCAGGGAACAAGTAGAATGTAAGCTCACATTACTGTGGGAGGAAACAATTTAACTGTAAGAGGGATAGGTGTTATAAAGAAATAATAGAGAAAGGAGATAGAAGATATCAGATGAGGAGGAGACTCTGTGGGTACATCTGTGTCTGTGACTGTGCAGTGTTCAGAGCCTTTCCTAAGGGAGAAAACTTTGAGGAGAGATTAAAAAGAAGTAAAGAAAGGAGTCAAGTGGATATCAGGGGAAAGCGCATTCCAAGAGAAGGGAAAAGCAGATATAAAAGCCCTGAGGCATAAAAGTTTTGGAGTGGTCAAGGATTAGTTGAGAGGCCTCATCATTGGGAGAAGTCCAGTAGAGGCTCTCTCGTGAAAGGTGACGTCACAGCAGTATAAGGGAGCCAGGCGTTTATTCCTTAGATACTATTGGAAGAAATTAGGTTTTTGTTTTGTTTTTTTCTTTTTCTTTAAATGAGGTAAGATGCTTGTAGGAAAATTCTAATGACAGTGCACATGATCTTATCTCAGTTTGAAAAAAAAAATATTCTGGCTGCTATTTTGAGGAGAGTTTATATGGTTCAAGGATAGATCACTTAAAAAGCAATTTAAATAATCTACTCAGAGATGATTGTGGCTTGGACCAAGGAGAGAATAGTGAGAGCGATGAGAAGTACTGAACTCTGGATATACCTGAAGGTAGTGGCTGGCCAGATGTGTTCATGAAGAATAAGTGACTAGAAATAAACTGTTATTTGCCGAGATAGGGAGGCATGGAAGAATGGCAAAATTCAGGAGCAAGTGGTAATCAAGAATTTACTTTTCAACATTGAGAGTTCGGGTAAACTTGTTCAATTCTGATTTACTTGATGCTTGCCTTCCAGAGAGGGATTTGGCTTTCTGCCAAGGTCCATGGGCACCATTGCACAAAGTGGCCATGGTAATTAATTCTGCCAGAATGATGAGGTGAAGGATCAAAACTGTGTCACATTGCTACATGGGAAATAATTGGAATCAGCCCTCTGGTTATGCCTGGGGAGGGGCTGGTGCTCTTCTGACCAGTAAGTCTGCAGTGATGGAGCAGGACGGAAGTTGAGCTGTCAGCAACATGACAGTGCTTTCTGCGTGGATGTTGCAATTGATTTTTAAATACCCGGCCTCTGATCACTCCAAAGAAAAAAAAGAATATGCTCTCCGATGTCATGTATTTTAAGAGCCTCTAGCCTCACTGTCAGAATCAACTTGCAAAAGCTTGACGTCCAGTCCTAATGGATCAGTAAGCACAGACGGGAATGCGTTTCCACTGGGGTCTGTTTGTTTTAGGTTAGTTTCCCTTGTTAGTGTTGAGATACCCATTAGAAATCTAAGTTGAGATGTTGAGCAGGTTGTTAGTATGTAAGTCTGCGGTTCAAGGAAAATATTGAGAAGAGAGATATACAGGGTGTGGCCAAAATTGGTCTGCAGTTGTGAGTATGCAAAACACAGCTTATTCTTTATTATTTTTTATTAATTATTGTATTAGTTTCCATAGGAAAAACTGTAAAACTACTTTTGCCTCACCCTGAATATATCTGGGAAACATGTATGTCTTTAATGGAAAATTTATAACATAGAGAGAAAATGATTGACAACAATCCTTAGGAATATATAAAGTGTAGCCTGAGAATAAAACGTCTCTGAGGGCAACTGAGAGGTTAATAAAGTCTCCAAAACAATGTAATTACAAGGCAAACCATTTGATTATTGAAACCCCTCAAATATAATGAAATTGCAGTGTAACTTCAGACATAATTTCCTAATAGTTTGCATGTGATGAGACATGAACACAACTGGTACAAACCTTTTTACCATCTTTGCAAAGACTTTAAGGTTAATTACTAGCAAATGTTTACAACAGTCTCTTCCAAGGTTAATCTATTTGAGAGAATAGAACTGAGGGTATTTTGGAATATTTATTGAAATAAAATGTTGATTTATTTGGCAGATTTTTATACATAACAGGTTTGAAAATAGTTATATATTGAAATATTCTTTCTTACCAGGATAGAGGATACAGTCCATAAATGACAAATCATCGATTGCAATGTCTCCCGTGAAGCCATCTCCCACTGAAGCCTCCACCGAAATCTAAGAAAAATATAAGAAAAGTATTGTCATTTCAAAGGAAACTAATGTATAGAATCTCATAGCTGAAAAGGAATTAAGAATTGACCTAAAGGGAATTCTCTTCTGAACCATTAAAAACATAGTTTGCAATAGTCTTCCTAAGTCGATATCTTATGTCTCCCCAAAAACTCCTAGTCCCAGGAAGCTCCACATTTTATTAGGCTTATTAAACCCAAGAAGCCCTTATCAGATTGGTATCTATTTCCCTATAACTTTCGACCATTATTTCTAGACTTGCCCTGTTTTCTTCGGATCCTTTAAGTATTTGAAGGCAAATCATTGTTCCCTTCTCCCACCTTTGCCCTAGTAGTTCATCTGTTTCCAAGGTTAACCCTCTTCATCCTTTGAGAAATCCAGTTTGCTGCCAGAGACACTTGCTAGAATGTACACATCGAAGAATTTTAAAATTTTTCTCACACCAACCTTATTCTGTAACACTTTATGAAACTGGCTAATCGTTATTAGATCTCCTTCAGAACCACATTAATCACAGTGAACTTAGATGACATCTGTGCAGTTATAGGAGCTGCAATTCCACCAAAACTCTAGTAAAATATGAAATCCTGACAAACCACTGTAGCATATGTCAGATTGTGGCTAGGGCTGAGATTTACTACGATAGAATTAATCATGATAAATTATTTTAATACTTATGCAAATATGTTGCATACTTACTAGGAATCCTGCTGCAATTTAATAATAAACTTCAAGCAAACTCAAACTTCAAAAACACGTTTTCTTTTTCCACTTCTAATGAATCTATGTTTCCGTTTCATTTTTCCTCATAAATGATATATGTAGGAGTTGAAATTTTATTTCAGTTTTCAAATTCTATCCTCCATTAAAAGTTGTCTCATATATTATTTATTGATGTCTTAGTTAAAGGAAAGTTTTAGAAGGTCAAATTAATGACCTCAAACATCTTGACATCTTCCTCCAACTTTCCAGGCTTCCTTGAGAACAGCCATATTTTCTCCCTGATTTGTCACTAAGGGAATTAATCAGTGTGGGAAAGGTCTATGCACCTAGCCAATGGGCAAATACAGTTCACCCAATACTGCCAAAGGAACATCTAACAGTGGTATATAGAAAGTGTCCTGCTGCTTCACAAAGGACCACTCCAGATAGAAAATGCACCATTCTTTTTATCATCAGCAGGATTCAAAGAAAAATTATAGGCAGAAAGAACAGACACAGGAAGAATATACAAAATCACACAATTATTCTAATAAGCAAATAGAATTTGGCACAACATACTGTTAAAATATATTTTATTTTATAGAAAAGTAAGACTGTAGTTAGGTGAACAATATGAAAATGTGGTAAGGAAAGGCCAATTAATTACTGATAAATTTCTTGGATAATTATGTATCTATCTCACTGTAGTATGTTAATAGAAGGCTCACAGATGCAAGAAAAAGGATAAACTAAGATATATAAAAATAAGCACTACCGACTTGGCTATACTATTCATGATTATCTTAGTTAATTGATGAGAAGAGATAGAAAATTGATATCAGAATCCCCAAATTAATTTTTTAATTAAAATTTATGGGGTGACATTTGTAATAAAACTATATAGATTTCAAGTATATAACTGTGATACATTATCTGTACATTGCATTGTGTACTCACCACCCAAAGTCGTATGTTCTTCCATCACCATATATTTGACCCGCCTTACCATTCACCACACTCTTCCCCTCTGGTAATCACCACATTGTTGTCTGTGCTTATGAGTTTTTGTTTGTTTATCTTGTTTGTTCATTTATCCCAGAATTTATTTTTTAAAAAGCATGTGTTGTACATATAAATATCTGTAAGATAATTTTAGGAGGTATACAAATATTTAGTGCCATTCAATCAAGTGTGTGGACTCAACTGTTCCAAAGCATTCTTTTTGTTAAAAAATTGGCCATTTGTGCCTGGCTGATGTGGCTCAGTGGACTGAGCATCAACCCATGGACTGAGAGGTCTTGGTTCAATTCCTGGTCAGGGCACATGCCCAGGTTGAAGATTTGATCCTCAGTAGGGGGCATGCAGGAGGCAGCTGGTCGATGTTTCTCTCTCTCCTTTCTTCTCTCTGTAAAAAATCAATAAAAACTATTTTTTTAAAAATGGCCATTTGTAAAAATTATGGATTTTTCTCATTTGTGGGCCACATCAGGTAAGCAGCATTTGTGAGTAGATGTTGCCTACACAGGCTTATTTGTATTGTAGTTTATATTATATGATAAGTACCCTAATATTGCTTCCATCAGCATTCAATGTCAATGGAAAGACTCAGAAATAGTTCGAAGCAGAGGACAGTTGGGTCTTGCTCTAAGACACAATTTAATTATGTTTACCGAAATATCTTTAACTTTCTAACTCTCTAAATGTTAGCATTCTTGAGAAATAATAAACAATAGTTTCAAATGAGACACTAAAAATGTCAATTTGTATAAAAATTGACACCTTTTAGGAATATTAAAAAGCCTACTGGATAACAAATCACATCTTCAGAAAACGTTATGAATGTTGAGGTTTAATTCTATTTTTGTCTTATATTTAATTTAATCATGACAAAAGCTTTGTGAAGTATCCTAAAAAAAAAACTAGTTTTAAGAAAATAATCACAAAAAAAAAGAGCAAAACCTTGTATGAAAGGAGAGAAGGTTAGCACTCCCCTTGACAAAAAAAAAAAAAAAAAAGAAAGAAAGAAAAGAGCAAACCAAGTGTCGTTATTGTGGAAAATTTACTTTCACTTCTGGTGATTTTCCCAGAATAAATGGAAGGATATTCAATTATACACATTGTTGTACGCAAGACAATATTGCCATTTTGAAAATTAGAGAAGCCATATTTTATTCCTAAATTTCATTGGTTCCTTACTGAATGACTTAAAGGTCAATTGAAAATTCCAGTTTGGTCTAAATGACCTGCATTGTCTTTAAAGGGCAATTCTACTGACATTAGAACTATTGTTGGCTTGGAAATTTTATAAGGTAATCTAGCTCTTCTAAGTTGTTCTTTTCATGGGCTGCTGCATACTCAAATAAAGATGGAGTGGCCTTGTCAACTACATGGAAACTTTTAGTTCTGATATAACTAAATATAACTAAGACTCAAATATGAATAAGGCTCTAGAGACTCACCTAGAAATGATTTCCTTAAAGAAAATGCAACTATGAATTATTGACCACATTTTTTAAATAATGTGGAAACTAGTGGCATAATTTAAATGTAACACAATCTGCCCAGCCTGTATGGCTCAGTGGTTGAGCATTGACCTATGCACCAAGAGGTCGCTGGTTCAATTCCTGGTCAGGGCACATGCCCAGGTTGTGGGCTTGTTCCCCAGTGGGGAGCATGCAGGAGGCCATCCATCGATGTTCTCTCGCATCAGTGTTTCCATCTCTCATTCTCCCTTCCTCTCTCTCTAAAAATCAATAAAAAATTATAATATAGAATAAATGTAACACAATCTAATCATAATTTTTACCAATCTTCAATTTCCTATCTATATGTGATATGTGTGTGTGTGTGTGTGTTTTATAGGCTCTATTAACTCATAAGACAGAAAAAAAAATAAAGTTAATTTACCTTGCCACTTACTTTAGCCATCATGCATTTGAAAAAAATACAAAATCTCAGCATAATAGTTCAATATTTTATAAAATCTTCAGACAGACTCAAAAGAAAGAAATTCTTGTTTAAAATTTTAAAAGCCCATGCCCTACGTAGAGCAACTGGAACTCCAATGCATTGCTGGTGAGAATTAAAAATGGTAAGGCCACCTTGGAAAATGATTTGGCAGTTGCTTATAAAATTAAATACACATGTCCATATGATGTGGCCATCCCATATGTAGGCATTTGTTTACTCAAGAGAAATAAGACATGTCTAAACAAAAACCTGTTCACAAAGTTTACAGAAATTTTACTTATGATGTCCAAAATTTGAAAATAATTCAAATATCTCTTAATTAGTAAATAGACAAGCAAACTCTGGTAGATGGGATACCACTCAGCAATAAAAAGGAACAAACGAATGATACATGCAACAACTTCCATAAATTTCAAAAAGCGTTATACTAAGTGAAAGAAGCTGGACTTAAAAGCCTATATACTTTATCACCCCATTTATGTAACCTTCTAGAAAAGGCAGAATTACAGCAAAGGAAATCAGACTGGGGTTGCCAGGGCTCCAGGGAGAGGGAGCGGACTGACTCCACAAAAGAAAGAAGAATGTGGGGGGACGATGAAAAGAGTTTCTGTCTCAGTTATGTCCGTCATCACACAACCGCATGTTTGTTGAAATTTATAGGACTGCTTTTCTAAATTAGATGGATTTTACTTATATAAATTATACCTCAATAAACAAAATACATTTACTCTCTACTTTTTGTCCTAAGTCATCAGTATTCAACTATAACTTTACTTGTCTTTAAACTAACTTAACGCATGGCACTGGATATTCAGCATATAGTAATCTCAAGTATCTCAATCTATTTTTCAGTTCAGCTATGAAAAATCCTCTCCTGCTGTCCACTAATAATTTTCCATAGAACAAATATTTATGTTTTCCCTTTAATTTCCTAATGATGCCGATTTATTTTCATTTGTTATTCCCATAATTAAAAATGCAGAAACAATAAAAATGTAAAACATTATAAAAACTCTCTGTAGCCGATTCTGACAATTGACTATGAGCTGAAGTAGACAAAATCCTACAAATACATTCACTCAACTATCTCATATTTTATTATATAACCTACAATTTGGAGTGTTCCTTGAAAGTCAGCTTCAAATCGCAAACTTTCTAGGCCAAGATTTAGGCAATTATTTGCTAGATTAAACATTTAAAAAGTTTTAATCATCTTTGGAATTATTTTATATAACCCTGAGGCCAATCTCTGTGAAATAAAACTCAGACTTTGACAATTTTTTTAACATGTTTTTTTCTTTATTGATTTTAGAGAGAGAGGAAAGGAAAAGGAGAGAGAGATTGAAATATTGATGAGAGATAACATCAAACCTCCTGCATGCCCCCCAGTGGGGATTTGGCCCACAACCTGGGTATGTGCCCTGACCAGGAATCAAACTGGCGACCTCTTGGTGCATGGGTCGATGCTCAACCACTGAGCCACACTGGCTGGGCTGTCTGACAATATTTTAACTCTGTCTCTAGACATATCACATATACACAACCAAGTGCAGAACAATTCGAGTTTTCAGTTGTTATACTACACCTATGAACACCAATTATTATTAAACACGAGCCACAAAAGCCATGCCTAAGCGGTGTGTACACTGAGCAGAGAAATTGATAATAAAATTAAAAAGTGTGATACAAGCAGAGGTGAAATAAAATGCTGAAACAGATAAGTAGGTCAAGTACTAAAAAAGAATTACTTAAAAGAAAAACTCTGATGTCTACCTCCTCTGATTGAGCTCCTACTTTGGAAAAATATCATGGCAAAATTTTCATTGATTTTTTGGCATGATACTGTATTTCTTCTTTGTTAATGTATGGTTTGCTAAGAATTTGTGACTCCTCAATGAGTGCCTCCTTTGTCATTGTGTCAAGTGTTTCCATGGTTACCAAGGAATATCTCATCATCTATGATGGAAAAAAAAAACAAGTACAACACCCTGGCTCTCAGTGCTTTCAAGTCAAAGAGATTGCCAATATTTTAAAAGTAGGATGTTTTCCAAGAAGATACTGTTGTAATTGCAATCATCCCTGTGACTCCCTGTTATACACCTAACTCTAAGGTTCGGTGTGAGTTCCCTTTTTATTATTTTATATCTGACTACTTCTCTCAATGCATGCCCCTTGCCTGGTTCCCATAGGCATTTGGGTTTGCAATTCCTTGTGCATGTTAGGTCAGAAATTGTGAAGGTCTGAGATTTTACCCTACTCACAAGCTAACAAGTTAGCCCGCCACTGTTTCACAGACATATACTGGCAGACGTCACCAGATTTTCTATTTAGAGAGACAGCAAAAAGCATCAGACTAAAAATGCCTTCCACTGTTTCCCAGTTTCCACAAGGCAACTGGATGAGGGTGAGGTGTTTTCCTGCACGTGCAGTGGGTTGCACCAGAGAAGAGGAACCCTGCCATCTGCTTAGCTCCTGAGAGAGAAAAGAGAAGAGGCGGGAAGGAAGGGAGGGAAGGAAGGTGCTTACTCTGGAATGTAAGCAAGTATCTCAGGTAGAGGCTATTCAAACACATTCTTTCCGAGAGTTTGAACTGTGCAGAACACAAGAAATCTATAATGACTTGTCTCCTGAAACTAATGCAAAAATATATTAATATAAAAAAAGGGGGGGGACTAAAAAAGTATATAAAATAAAAAAGAACTCTCTCCAAACAGTGAAGCTGGATGGTGCTACATTGCTGATATATTTATTTTGTGGAAGAGCCCTATGCCTTAATGTATGTGTAAATTGAAATGTTGACATCAATTCAGACTTCTTTCTTCATATATAGTACCCCATTTTATAATACTCTGAACTGAATGAGTCAATACTAACTTTCAGAGAAGCCCACCCACCTGCTGCTGACCACGCTCCTTTTCCTCCCACATTTTTTCCCATTAGGGCTTCTGCTGTGTTGAGGGCGGAGATTTTTTTTTTAAATCAAGGAGTGGGGAATGTGATAGAGAAAGTAAGGTCATTCAACATTTCATTCATGTTTCTTTATTTAGATAAAATTTTTCTGCTGTTCTTGAAAGAAAGAGAAACCTAAAATAAAATCATTTCAGGTATTCAGGTCATATAAAATCTATTTGCTTTCTACTGTGTTTAAAGAAATGGAAAAGCATAAAGGTCATTTCAACTACATTTCTGTGGAGCTTCAGATGTACAAAAAGGGCCAAAATCTGGGTGACTTTTCTTCCCCGCCAATATATATAACAGTGCCTCTCTGGAACTCGCCTAAATGGATTTTAAAAGAAATAAGTATTGATCAATTCACAACTAATTTGGTACTTGAAATTCTGCAAACTCACATTCTATTTTAAAGTGTCCTCTGGGGACTCATCTACCATGTAACCCATTTCACATCTCATCTATTATTTGAAAGAGGACAAATAGTTCTCCAGTCCTAAAAATTTATATAGAACCTATTTGATTGGAGGCTACAAAGAGGCATTTAATTGAAAATAGCCTGGTTGATATTACAGAGAGAACAGTAAAGAAGATTTAGAACTATAGATTAAAAGGCTCCAAAAAATGTGTATTTATTATTTTTAAATGATTATCTAAGGTATACAGTAATATGATTTTAACAGAGTACAATGTAATACTGTTGAAATGATTAGTTAACACAAGCCAAAATTAAATTTTTATTTAAGAATCATACTTCTAAAATTCTTAATTTTTTTTTCAGTCAGCAGACTCATTTTTATCTTCCACACTACTAAAGATAATATTTAAAGGAAAATGAGTGGAATTATAGTTTGCCATTTTATATACAAGCCTTTTTACAAAAATCACACACCCCCCATTCTCCTTATGAAAGCAGACTCTAAATCTACCCCTTCTCTGTGGCAACTGAAAACTGATCCCAACCTAAAGCAAGAAATATCAGGTCATAGATTTAAATCCAAACAATAACCCACATTAGTCCTATGCTCCAGTTCAATACCCTATAATAGCCACCTAGTAAACATTGGGAATTAAAAATTTCATTTCAAGTCTCAGTTTAGATGTTACTTCCTCAGAGACGCTTTCCTTGATTACTCAAAGCTGAAGCTACTTCCTTCACAAACT